GGTGTGTTCACACATTTTGCTGAATGCTACTATTTTTATGTCGTTGATATATTTTTCTTATGATATTTTTATATTTTTATATTTTTTATTATTAATCATATTTTTATATTTTTATATTTTTTATTATTAATCATATTTTTATATTTTTTATTTATCGCTTTCTATATTTTATTATTTTTCACTTTCTATTTTTTTATTATTTTTCACTTTCTATTTTTTATTATTTTTCACTTTCTATTTTTTATTATTTTTCACTTTCTATTTTTTATTATTTTCCACTGTCTATTTTTTATTATTTATCACTTTCTGTTTTTCATTATTTACCGTTTTTTAATGTTATTACTTATTATTTATCGTTTTTTATTATTATTTCGTATTATTTACCGTTCTCTAGTATTATTTTTGTATTATTTTCAATTATTAAATATTTAATATTTTTTTTGTTTTATTTTCTAGTCATTTTCCATTATTTATTTTTTTCTAATTATTTACCATTTTTACTATTTTCTGAGTATTATTTTTTATTATCTAATATTTTCTGAATATTATTTTTCAATATCTATTTTCTTATTTATTTTAAATATTATTATTATTTACTAAAGGTGTTTAATATCTTATTTTATTTTTCCTTTTATTATTTACTTTTTTCTTGGTGTTAGTTTTTATAGTTTCCCATTTTCTATACTATTTTTTATTATTTGATTATATTTTATTACTTTTCTTATTTGACTATTTATGTGGCTTCAGTACTTTTTTAATATTTTATAAATTTTTATTCTTTTTTGAAATTATTAAAATTTGTATTTTGACATAATTTTTAGTTTTATATATTATTTTTTTGATAATAACTTTAATTATCTATCACTCAGTTTTAATTCATTATTATTTATTAATTTCATCATTTGTTGTTTTTTTATCCAGTTTTTTATAATTAATTTTTTCTTGTAACTTCAATTTTTTAATAACAATTTAAATTTAAAATTTTTATTAAGATTTCTTATCATCGTTGTTATTTATATACTTTTTTATAATTTTAATTTTTTCATAATTTTAATTTTTTCATAATTTTAATTTTTTCATTATAATTTTAATTTTTCGTTATAATTTTTATTTTCAATTATAATTTTATTTTTGAATTTCAAACTTTTGGTTACTGATACAATTAGTTTTTTTTTTTTTTTTGCATAAACAAAGTAAAATAATTCAGTATTTTCTTACCTCTTCAAGAAAAAGTTGCTTCATTCAATTTCAATTCACATGGTAAATGTTGTAGAAGAGTCAGCAATATTGCTTGTTGGTCAAGAACATTTTTTTTTCTAAATATTACCGCCTTAATTTCTCCGCCACAATTAAAAACGGTTTGTTTCTTCTGTTTGCTTTACATTTAACAAAATTGGTTTTGTGTCCTCCAAGCTAGTTGTAAAAATCCTTCTTAGAATGATCAGTTTGTAAGAATCGTTGCAGTTTAGTCCTGGTCAGGCGTTCATAGAAAATTAATTGCGTTTTTTTTTACAAAGTGTCATTTACTGAATGTCCCTATGTGAACTATGTCTTTTTCGCAAAACGTTTATTAACGAAATATATATGAAATTCTCGCGCTTGTCCGTTAAAAATAAAAAAAACTGCTATAAAATTTTAATCAGTCTCAAGTTAAAAAATTATCAGATGAAGTTCAGAATTTAATTGTTTTTGTAACATTTTAAATGTGCCTCAAATCCATTTATAGTAATTATTGCTGTAGAGTTCCGGAGCTGAAAGTTAAAATCATTTGCCTTCTTTGACAAATTAAGAAACAAAAATCAAGTGGACAAATCAAAGAAATGTGCGGCCAATTTCCATACTTCTTAGCGGAACATGCACACTGACGTCACAACATCCACTATACAATTTAGAAATATTTACATTCAAGAATACTGAGTATCATCACGAATAAAAAACTAAAATTAACTTCGTTACAATTTTCATAATTTCTTATCGCTTCTAGTCAAGACACATTTGCCGATAACTTTCGAGAAACAACCCAAAAACAATATTATTAGTTTCTTTGACAAAGCAAATATTTTGGAATAGATGTAAAATTTTTACTAACATGTCGAAGAGAAAGAAAATGATGGACGTATGATATTTACATTATATGTTAGCTTAATTAGGCAAATAAGTATAAACGGGGGAAAAGTTCAATTTATGGGGTGTTAAATTTGATGTAGTAGTTCAAGTGACATGTGAGAAAAAAATAAATGTAAATTAGGTTCGATTAATTTCTGACGAAAAGGTCTTAAGAGGATTTTTCGGTTTTATCAGTGTAAATATAACATAGTTTCAGAATCATTTCTGAATTTTGCAATTGATTAGAATGCTTAAAAAAACCAATAATAATGTGTAACTGTGAGAAGTTACCGATCGAGTTGAAAATTGTTGACATTCTTGACGTACTAAAATACAGACAGAATTCCATTTCTAGCATTCATAATTCATAAGATGGTTAAACTATAAAGTAAAAAAAAATATATTACTTATAAAATAGAATTTTCGACACAACAAAAGAATATTTTTTCCAATATTCCCACTTAAAAAACTTCAAAACCGTATTACAAATATTTTAGAGAATGTGTTAAAATAAACTGTTAAGACATTGTAAAGATGAATTAAACAAAGTTTATACAAACAAGTTGATTTATGCAAAATGTCTTCGAAAAACACCTATATTGGCACGCACACTTCTTATTATCTCAACAACCAATACCCCATACAACAACCACCACCATCACATCACCATCGCTAAAGCGAATTATCTTCCAAACAACAGTATATGTAGCGAAATTGAATTCCTTCTTGTTGCCCACCAGGGCTCAACAAATTAAATTACAAACATACGGAAAGAAAATTAAATTAAAAGATTTTTGTTTTTCAATTTAATTACATAGTTGAACATGTATTATTTTATATATTTAGACTAAAAGATGTTTTGCTGGTTTGTCTACATAAATCAATGTAATTATCATTTTGTTTTATAGTTATGTAATACAGATCATATTACACACACATAATTAAGACAACGAGACAAGTCAATTTTAATTTCAACCATTTGTTAGCTAACATTTTCCGACACAAAATTTCTAAAACAAGACAATTTTGTACGAAAAATCTTAGGCTCGACAAATGAATTAAATTAAAAACAACATTGCCTCCCAGTTGCTTTTCACATAAAACATATAATGTATATATGTTAGTATGCTGCCAAATTTGTATATATAGATTGGTTTTAAATATTGAATTGATTATGGCTTAAAACTAGGGGTTGGTAAAATTGAAAAGCCCGAGGAGCAAAATACGGTTCTATATGTCAGCGAGACATCATCCACTCATGCTCAACTACTTGCTCTTCGCTACCGTGTCTTATCAATTAATTCTAATAAAATTGTAGAATCTTAAATTTCGAGCGTCTAATGAGTTTGAATTTTAATATTTTTTCTCATTTTCTACCATAATAATAGATTGTTATACATTTAAAATGTTTCAAACCAAATTTTACACTCATATATGTATAATGTTTTGTGATTAACTTATCCTGCTTAGAAGAGAATGTACGTGATATTTTAATACATTTTTCCACTAAGATTTAAGTGAATTAAAATAGCGTACAATATGTATTTTATATAAGATGAAATATTAATAAAAAAAAAATCTGACACCTGGAGGTGTGTTCACACATTTTGCTGAATGCTACTATTTTTATGTCGTTGATATATTTTTCTTATGGTCCATTTTGTTCTTTCAATGATTTAAGAGATGGTTCCAGTAACAGCGTACAACTGCACGTCTTTGTGTTATGGTTGGGCAGAAGTACTCGTGGTAGAATTGCATGTATGTAGTTTAATTAAATTTGTTTGTTTGTTCATTTCTAAATTTTTCACTTGAGACCATATAATATTAATCCAGCATAAATCGTTTGGGTTCATTCATTTTAGGTGGTGACACTGAATCTCAGAAACGTCTTCTTCGTTCCCATGGATTATTGTTTGCGTTGTTATTGCCACCGCGCTGATTGCCACCCGGATTGGGGTTACCACCACCAAATTCAAATGAAAACGAATCCTATCCGCAAGTGAATGTAATAAGAGAATTTCATATGCAAATGTTATAAAATAAGACTATTTTTTTCTTGTTTTGATAATTAAAAAAAAAATAAGTGAACCACCCGCTCAGCACTACTAAATAAATTTACATATATAAATAGTATATTGTCTTACATCAACCAGAATAAATACCAGGTTGAACGCAGGCATTTTGATGCTTACTTCTTAGGGTTTAAAATAATTCATGAATTCAAGTAACGAAAAATGTATCTTAGTTGCAATGACTCGAAAATCTCAACTTCTTTTTAAAATTCATTTATACAATAAAACTTTCGACGACCAGATCCAGCGAAATTAGCATACTCAAACTCAAGCTTAGCTTCATAATAAAACTTGATCAAGATTATTTTGTTCACAAATTTATGTAGGCTGTATTCGCTTTATTAAATACATAGGTTCTCGTTCAACGTTCATAAAAAGATCCCCTAAACAAACGAATAAATTTTGTGGATTATTTTATTTCTTGCATTCAAGACGACCTCGCCGCATACAATGAGTTAAATTAATTGATAATTTTTCAACTCGCATTTTTATAATCCAGCAGTTTATCCAAGTTATAATCAACAGATGTACATATGTATGTATAAATATGGTGAACTTTAGTAATCAACAGAATATACTTTGCAATTTTATAATAAAAAAAAAATTATATACTGCAAACAATCTTAATATCGATTGTTTAAAATCGTCCCATTCCGTAGAGCTGAGTACTATAAGGCTCATTGAAGCCATTTTCCTTCTCGCCAAAGATAAGCCATTAGAGAATGGGCTCATAACAATATTAAATATTCAATTGAATTTTGCTAATATCTTAAGCGTCCCCATTGAAGCATTACATTTATAATATAATGCTTTCAATAATGCTATAAATTGATCAAGACTTTTACCCAGCGATTGAGAAATTTAACCCAAGCATAAAAAACCAACCCATAGAAACCCCCAATTTGCATATATTTCGTAATATATTGATACAAATAACAGTTGTTTCCCCATCACCCGAAAACGCTTTCGAGTTATTTTAATGTTTTACTAAATATTTAAATATATTTTAGAAAAAAAAACATAAGATCCGAAAGTTTAAATAAAAATGATATTTTCCAAAGAGTAAAAAACAATTCTCAAGTGAACATTGCAAATAACACACATTTCACCATTACTATGTAGTGATCCTGTTCAATGCTTATCAAACGTAATACTGGTTCCAATGCTTTGCGAAATTGGTAATATAATAACAAGTATGGATCCGTGATTCAAAAAAGGTCACATACTATCGTCTGTTACTACTGTATAATAATCATATAAGACAACTTTATAAAGCGGAATGTCGATAACAGAACATTTGTTAAGCGAACTCTCCAAGACATTTGCACTATATTGCCCTACTTAAACTTGGGACATACAATGCAGTTCCTTTGGAATAAACAATAACATTTGGCCTTATGTTATTGCTACCCCTGAGAATGTTCAGCAAATACTCATGTAATGATATAAACAGCCGCGTATGTTTAAGCAGCAAATATATAATGCTTCGCTGTATCAGTTTTCACATTTTTATATGAAATTAAAAACGCCTTAAAATTTTAACTTTTTATTCAGGTAAACCGTCCGTGCTTACATTGAAGCACAGCTAAATTTTCAATTTAAAAATTTGATAATCTCATTATTGAAGCATACAATTAACGAACTAGGAAAGCTTTCGCTAAGGTAATGAGAATTGATTTAGTTTTGAAACAATTGAAAATCATGCTCGTAAAAAGCATTGCAAAGTATTTGGAGTGCATAAGTATGACTCACTTTGCTATGTTTAACTTAGAATATATGTTATCATATTTTAATGCAGCATATTCTTGTCGAGTTTTTATTTGTTCAAACATCACCGCATGAAAAGTTCGAAAAATGAACGTACCTGTGGATTGCTTGGACCATTGCCACTACCGCTATTGTTGTTACCTCCGGCATTGCCTAAAAGAGCAGAAATTGGATCTACCATTACACATTAGTGTGAAATGTCCCATTCAAAATCAGATTATTTACCCCTGAATTCAAATGGTGAATTGTTGGATGCTCGACCAAAAGTGTCGAAATTATTACCTCCATTATTGTTGCCACCGAAGCCTTCTTGTTGATCGAGCAACGAGTTAAGTTGCTGGGCTTGCATAAACAATGTGTTTTCTTGTTGACGGCGACGCATTTCTTCTTCTTGTCGCATCATACGCGACTGCATTTCACTTTGCTGACGACGCAAATTCTCTTCATCACGTTTGCGCATATCCTCAGCTTGCTTTTCGCGCATTTCCCACTCCATCTTCTTTCGCTCATTGTCTGACTCGCGTTTCCGTAATTCTGAATATAAAAAAAAATAATTAGTATTCAAAGTTTTTCGATTTCTTTTCAAACTTTGCCAACCTTGGCGAAGCAGCTCTGTTTCATGTTCATATCGTGCATATTCCATTTGAGCTTCCAGCTTTTCTTCTTCCATTTTCAGTTCACGTTTCAGAGCTTCTTGTTTTGTTCTGAATAATTCATACAATTGCTTCCACCTGGTACCATATTCGTGTTCGAAAGAACCTAATTCAGCAAAACGTGGTCCGATACCACGCTCATGATGGAATTCTGGCGATTTTTTATTTAATGATTTATCTGGCAAACCATCGTCATCTTCATTAACTTCAAATGGTTCAACTACGCAAGGACGAAGTGATGCAGTAAGGAAAAAGCATTTTTCATTGCAAAAGCGTAGACATACGTTAGCTGAAGATTTTTTAGCAAATTCAACTACGCCTTCGCCTGTAGATTTACCACGATCATCAACAACAACGTTAGCGCGTTCAATAGGTCCAAAAATTTCAAATGATCTGTAAAGTAGTTCATTGGACACGAATGGCGTGAGATTTTTTACACGTAGTATTGTTGCATTTGGTGCAAAACGGACACGCAGTTGCCGACCTTTACGATTAGTACCATCCAATTCACGTTTAGCACGCTGCGCATTAGCATGAAAATCTACTTTAAGGAATGTGAAATTTTTTTCATTATTACAAAATATTTCTCCGATATCTCCATATGGTTTAAACATTTCTCGAAGTTCGTTCTCTGTTATATCATTGGTAAGATTTCCAACATATAAACGATTCCGACCAGAGAACTTGGGTTCTTCAGTTGACTCAACTGGTGGCAATTCATGTGTCGGTCCGCCGATTGCACGAATCCGTTGGCCAATAAAAAATTCATCACTTCTGTTGTATGGACCATTGCCTTGGTTACCACCACCTCCACCACCTTGACCACCGCGGCCTCCACGGCTACGATCTCTATTCTGGCCTCCTTGATTGCCACCGAGACCTCCTCCTTGGTTACCGCCGCTGTTACCACCACCTCCACCGCCGCGATTGCGATTCTGGTGTTGGTTCATATTCATGTTCGAATTTTGGTTGTTCATGTTCTGATTTTGATTATGTTGTTGGTTTCTTTGCTGATTCTGAAGCTGCGGCTGTTGTTGTTGTGGTTGCGGTTGTTGTGACTGCTGTTGTTGAGTGGACGGTTGTGGCACAGGTGCTACATCCTTTTTAGCTGCACCCTGATTTCCATCAACAGGGGGCTTTGAAGCATCTTGATTTTGCTGATTCTGCTGGTTCTGTTGATTTTGATTTGATTGATTTGGTTGATTTGGTTGATTCGGTTTATTCTGGTTTTGCTGAAAATTCGTAACATTTAGATATGGAATTTCATTCACGTTAATAGAAACTTAAACGATTGACAACTCTAAAATTTCCTATTGCATCTACTAATTCCTTTATGAAAAAGTTTCCAAAATCTATATAATAGTATCCATTAGCAAACTTATTAAACTATTTTTAAATAGCACTAGCTTTTGTAGTCGGTGCTATTCTGGATTACGAATATTTAGTCTAATGTCAAAAATATCTACAATTACTTTTTGGCAAGCACATTGAAGTTGCTATCAGTTATTTATGCATATTTATAAGGGAAATAATTTTTTCAGAAACTGAGAAAAATAAAAATATGTACACGGCAGCGTGATACATACACGACGGTATTCAATGATGTTGGCAATTCGGCTTCGGAAAAACGAACTACCGATTGCGGTCCGTCGCCATTTTGCATCCGCCATTTTGAAAAAAATAAGTATCGATTTTTCAACACTGTTGGCTCAAATGTTGGTAATTGGAAAAGGTTGAAAATTGTTAAATATACATAAATTTTAACAACTGGCAAGAATTAATATTTATTATATAATTTTTTATTAAAAATAACTACTAAAATTACTTACCTGATTCTGATTTTGGTTTCCTTGGTTTTGGCTTTGGTTGTGATTCTGATTTCCACGATTTTGGTTTTGATTTTGCTGATTGCGATTGTTATTACGATTTCCAAAGCCTCCTCTGTTCTGATTACCAAATCCTTTATTCATATTACCGCCTTGATTTTGGTTGGGACCACCACCTTGGTTAAAACGTGCTTTTTTCTCAGCAGGCGCTCCTTCATTATGATCATTCTGCTTTTGCTGCTGAGCATTCATAATTGGCTTTTTATTACCTTGGGGATTATTCTTTTGAGCTCTTTGTGGCAATGGAGCAGCTCCATTAACTCCATCAGCTTTAATACCACCATCCATATTTAATATTTTTCCACTTTACACACACACACAATAGATTTTATATTCAGCTGAAAAGGTTGCGGTTAAATTAAAAGCACATCCGCACGAGTCGACGACCGGAAAAAGAATGACCAAAATTTTAAAGCAACGCTATTGAAAATGGTGTCCGTTACACAGAGTTGTATTCTACGTTCCCTGGAAACGCGTAAAATTGAAACGGATCAGCTCTAAAAATATAATAATGAGTGCGCACACTCTAAATATTGACGGATTGTAGCCAAAAAATATTTTAAGAAGAACGAATATCAACTACTCTTTGTTTGTTCGCGCTAAAACATAAGAATAGCTTGCTTAACTTGTAAATTTTATTTTTGCCTAAATTAACATGAATACCTCGCTTGATCCCAGGAAGCGGAAGTACTTTGTTCGAACTTTCCCACGAGGTATCTCAGAAAATTTAAAATAATAAGAAATAAGTTCTCTGATGACGTTGCAAGCACAGTTGTACGAGCGGTATTCACATACAATTTGTAAACATTACATTTTTCGGCTTAGCTTCAGCAATGTTATTATTTTTAAACGAATTATACGTATAAAAGTCTATTTACAACAATGTTTTTGCTATACCCCTTTGGGCTTTGAGTGTCATCGTGGATATCGTTTGCCTTATAGCATGCGGGATTATAACCATTGTACGGTGTCCAAAGTAGGAAACCGTCGCTGCTGTTACCGGTTAGAGCTCACAGCTTTCAACACCCAATCGATTTCGTTTTTCACTTCATTTGTCATTTGTGGCTATATATCACTGTTATCAACTAGTAAATAAATTAATACTTTTAATCCAACAAACTTTGTTGGCAACATATTATAATTGATTATGTTAAGCAATCATGGAGCCTACATAGGAATACGGAGAATCAAATTGCTTACAGTTTTCTGTCAAAATTATAGCTGATAGTAAATCGCTTACTGCCTGCGGAGACGCGAGGTTATAGAAGTGCTTAAATAACACAATGTATGAGGCTTAAGACTTAATAAGGTGAAGCAAAATGTTGTCGAACAAAAACTTTTTTACGCCTTATCAATTCATGATATACAAGCTCTACAGAAGAGTAAAAAGAACATTCCATTTTATTTTGTACTGGTAAATTTAAATTTTAATATCTTTCTCAAAGTTCTTAAACAATTAAATAATAATAATAAATTAAAAAAATATTGGCTATATCCTCGCTTTGCTCCGCTTCGCTGTAAGAGTTCTATTTGAGAATTAGCCCTTATGCTTTAAAAGTTTCGTTTATCAGGCAAGTCTAAATGTGAGTGAGCCTTCATGCTACAACCGTATGGCAAACAGTAATTATCAAAGTTAAAATTCAAAATATATAAAAAAAGCCCTATAAGAACGCTTCCAATCATTTGAGCTAGATTTGGTAGCATAATGTTGCAACTACCTATCTTACATAACTATCGCCCATAGCAACCTGACTCATCAGAGCTCAATATAAATGAAAAGTTGTCACCGCTTTTTGTTGTTGTTGTAGCGGTTCGCTAACCCCGCTTAGGCACAAGTTTGTTCAGTCTAAGTCACTGAGGTCATCTAGTGGTAGCTCCAGGAAACGAGCTGTTTCGACGGGGTTGGACCAAAGGGAGAGGGGGGTGAGATGAGTGGGTTTGAGGGGCATGTGAAGAGGTGGTTAGTGTCGTGCGGGGACTCTCCACATACTTTGGGTATGCTGGGGTCTAGTCTGGATAGGTAGGATTTTAACCTGCTACAATATCCAGACCTGAGTTGTGTCAGGGTCACGCGGGTCCCTCGAGGCAGCTCGAGCTCGTTGTCTGCTATGGGTGGTGGTATTTCTCGGAGTACGCCATTCACTGGAAGGGAGTCCATGAAGGTATTGACAGAATCCTGGTGAATGGCGTTCAGTGCTTGTCGGTACGCCGTCTTGTCCAGCGGTTGTTGTGTGTGTTGCTGGAATGTGTCCTTTAAATCAAGTACTCCCTTTCTGATGTGCCTAGGTGGAGGCTCAGCCTCTATGAGATGCCTACTGGGGTGCTCCCTGCTTGCACAGCAAAGCATTATGCTCCTTAACTCGTAGCATAGATGCTTCCCTGTGCAAGTGATGCTCCGGCGACATCAGGAGGTTTCCTGTCGCGGTCATGAGGGCGGTGTTTTGGCAAGCCTGTAGCTTCTTCATCTGCGTCTCGTTCGTCCCCGGCGTCCAAATCGGTGCAGCATAGTTTACGACCGGCCGGCCAATTGCTTTCTAAGTAGCCAGCAAAGTTTCTTTATCTTTACCCCAGTTGCTGCCGGCTAGCGCTTTGAGTATTTTGTTGCGGCTCAGGAGTTTTGCGGCAATCGCATTCGTATGCGGAGTGCAGGCTGTCTAGAATTACTCCCAATATTTTTGGGTTATTTACCGTCGGAATTTTTGTGCCATCGACCTTCATATCCAGTTCAAGCCTGTATTCCTTCGTCCGGCTGATGAAAAGGTAGCCGAGGATTTTGTCGGTTGGATTCGTAATTGTCTTGCAGTGAAGAAGTGGGAGAGATCAGCGAGGTAGTCGTTTACTTTCGAGCAGAGGTCATCAATATCCTTGTCGGGCGCCATTATCGTACAGTCATCGGCATACGAGGTTAGGGAAACTCCTTCTGGTGGTGGAGGGAGTTTCGAGATGTAAAAGTAGCGGGGAGAGGACACCACCCTGCGGAACCCCCTGTTTAATTTTTCTGGGTTTAGATGTTTTACCTCGGAATATTACCGATGATTGTCGACCACTCAGGTAGCCCATGACCCACCTCTGCAATCCCGGCGGTAATGAAGATTCCTCAATGTCCGTTAGTAGCACTGAGTGATTGACTGTGTCAAAAGCTTTTGACAGGTCCAGTGCTACTAGGACAGTTCGCGCGCAGGGTCGGTTTTGGTTGAGGCCATGGACTATCTGAGTGTTTATGGCGTTAAGTGCTGTTGTGGTGCTGTGCACTTTTCGGAAGCCATGCTGATGGGCTGCTGGACGCAGGTGGTGAGTGAAGGTTGGGAGCAGTAAGGCCTCAAGTGTCTTCGCTACTGGGGAGAGGAGAGGTATCGGCCGATAGGACTCTCCTTTGTTGGCTGGTTTCCCCGGTTTAAGTAGCGGGACCACCCTACCCGTTTTCCACACGTTGGGTATCTTCAGGGTGGTCAGAGACAAATTGAGGACCCTCGTGAGAAATTCTGCTCCCGCTGGTCCAAGGTGTCTCAGCATCAGCATGCTTATTCCGTCGGGGCCGATGGATTTGGAGGCTTTCGCCTTCCCGATGACCCCCTGAACCTCCTCCCTGGAGAAATCAAGCACCGCGCTGCTGTTTGGCAGTTTGCGCATACGGCGGGTCACACGTCGTTTCGCTTTGTCTACCGAGGGATGCAGTGTGAAAAGTCGGCTAAAATAGCTCGCGCATCTCTTCGGGTCCGACGAGGTGCGATCACCGAATGAAATTTCCACCCGGTCATCGCGTCTCGTCGGGTTAGATAGCGACTTGACTGTAGTCCAGAGCTTGGTTGCCCAGAGGGAGGTTGCAGGTCCTTAGGTGCTCCTCCCACTTTTTCCGCTTATGACTGTTGACCGCGTTTAAATCCCTGATTAGGGTATTCCCGGGATCGGAGCTTCGGAGGGTGTCACGCCTGGATGCTAATACCGCCGCTTCTGTCCGAAAATTTGGGCGGATTTCCGCAATTCGGCCAGCCGGGATGAAGCGAGCGGCAGCGGTCACGACGACCCTGCGGAATAAGCGTTCACCAGCGGTGACGTCAGTTGGAGTGGGAAGAGCACTGAAGGCGTTCTCAGTAAATTCCGTGAATCAGGGCTAGCTAGCTTTTTTAAAGTTAACAAATGTCCGGTGGTCCGCGGAAACAAAGCCGGGAGGCCTGTTAATTTCATGCTGCGGGGAGCTCCGTAAGACCGTGGAAGTCTGCTGATTACCCAGAGTGGGTATATGTGCTGAAGGCACTGCCGTGGAGGCTGAGTTGGCGGTTGGACGCTGGCAGCATGGGGCCACATAACTCGTGGTCCATTCCCTTTGAGTCTTAAGGCCTGAGCAGGTCTTAAGATGACTCCAACCGTTGCACTGGGTGCATCTAAACGAGGTGGATGAATTGTGGAGTCTTCTATGACACACGCAGCAGAAGTAATCCGTCGGTCCAGGGTTGGTTTCTACACCGGTGAGTATCCGAATAGTCTTACGAAAAAATAATTAAAATGAAAGAGTAGCACGGAAGAAACCATTTATAAACGAGGTTAACCGAAACAAAAGGCTAAAATTTGCAAAATGTCATGGGGATAAGGATTTTCAATTCTGGAAACAAGTTTTATTTGCAGATGAAAGCAAAATTACAGTCGTATGTTTGGAGAAAACCGAATGAAGAGTTGCTAGAAAAATATTTACGCCCGACTTTTAAGCACGTGGGCGGCTCAGTAATGGTATGGGGTTGTATGTCCGCAGCTGGTACTGGAAATTTGTAATATGGATCACAAGCAATATCTGACCATTTTAAAAGAAAATTTAGGACAAAGTGCGGAAAAGTTGGGAATTAAAGACAACGATCCCAAGCATAAAGCATTTGATGTCCGTCTATGGCTGATGTATAACTGTTCTAAAGTGCTTGAAACACCTCCTCAATCTCGCGACATTAACGTAATTGAACATCTGTGTGCTCATTTGGAAAATAAACTAAAAATGCATGTTATTAGAAATAAGAAAGACCTAGAAGCCGCTATTTTGGAAGAGTGGGGGAAAATGAATTTTTTAACATGCAAGAAGCTAGTTGAATTTTTGCCAAGAAGACTGAATGCTATCAGAAAAAGTAAAGACTTGCCGACCAAATATTAAGAATATTTTGTTTCTCTTTAAATAATATTTTTATATTCTATGTTATGTATATGTCCGAGTTCTTTTTTGTCATCAGTTTGGTTAAGTTGTTATGTTCATATTATTTTTATACGACCGAATTTAGTGGTTGTTTTGGAAAATACACTTGAAGAGCAGACTTACTTCTACTATATGTTAAACAGAAAGCCCTCGATTTGCATTTTATTATATATTTATTTGGTTAAAGTCATATAACTTGTGTGTCCGAGTTCATTTTTGAGCCACTGTATACACTTTCTGTGCTACTTTTAATCTTTCAGTACCCTTAAACCTGTTTACTTTATCAATTCTTAGAAGATATTGCAAATGCACTTAGCTGGGGCTATGCTAAGCTCAATTCAAAATGCTGTTCATGAATGCAATTTTCAGTAAGAAAATTTAGTATTGAAAGCAAAACCTACATGACGGAAGCTAGTAAATAATCAAGCTCTAATTCAAGGTAGAAAGGGTATGTAAATTAACAGTTCTACCTACATACATGTGTAAAGAAGAGCCGCAATAGAAAAAATATGTATGTATGTAAAGTAAATATTTTTTAATTGTGGTCGGCCTTCGGCAGGAATTGTATTGGTGTTCAAGATTCTCGATACGGGACGTCTAAAACATAGAGCCCATGTATCGTTAGAATTATTATTTAATCCTAAAATGAAATACCATAAATTTGAAACGGTCATGAAAGGTATAAAGACATGGCCAAAGACAGCTCCTTTTCTTGTTCTAATTGCCGCGTGGTTAGCATATCCCACAGCCATTCGGAAGGGCAGAGTTCGAATCCTGGTTTGACCAACATACAAAATTATTGAAAATTCATTTTTTTTAATTTCGGTCACCTCTCGGCAGAGCATATCAAGCCGTTCTGATGTGGCTTAGAATAAACTATTGTTGTTGGAAAAACATCAAGATGCAAGCCATAGAATGGAGGAAGTAATCGGCCAAAAATCGCTAACGTGCTCGGCAGGTACTATTACATCCTCCGAGTGTTTTTCTAAAATAAGAAGAAGCTCAGAAGCTTCTCATAAAAATTTATCAGCTTCGAAAAAACTGTAGGTCTCTCCATTTACATGTCTAGCATCTTACACACATACTACTCGTACTACATATACACTTTATCATATTTCAGATTTTTGTGGTAAATAATTCAAACGCATTCCCATACAATCTCCCACTGAAGATAAACAATAAAGAAAATATAGATTAAAAATGAAGATAAGTCCAACGCTCATATTGTCACTCAGTATTTTCTTCATAAGATTTCATAATACAATGAGCAGTAACTGGGAACGGGTTCGTCTTCGTGTCGAGACTAAAGAGGTGAGCTATTTACATATATTTCACACATATGTACATATGAAATATTTAATACCGGTTAAATTTCGTCCTACATATGTCTTAAGGGCCTCGACCCGGTTACCAATAATACTGTCAGCGCCGATGTACGAACCATTTCCGCTCACATATTAGACACCACATTGGGCCAGGCTGCAGCCAATGTGAATATTACAATTTACCGCCTAGAAGGCGAAAATCAATGGGAAAAATTGAATAAGGCACGAACGAATCAAGATGGTCGAGTAAGTCAGCTAGTGAGCGGAGTTCAATACAAAGCCGGCATTTACAAGCTACATTTTGATGTTGGGCCTTATCACGCAGAACGTGGAGTTAAGAGTTTTTATCCATTCATTGAGATTGTCGTGCAGTGTGAACAGGATCAACACTATCATATACCGTTACTTTTGAACCCATTCGGTTATACAACCTATCGAGGTACTTGAAGGGTGTATGATGAAGCTGGCATAAATAAAATTAAATTTCCATTAATTTTTTTTTTATAACTGATGAAATGGGCAGTAAATAAACAAAGTATAGCGTGTGTGCTGTGTATAAATATTTGAGTACTTTTAAGAATACCTTATCAGTTTGAGTAACGAGGCTACTTACCCGTAAGATAGAAAAATATTTAAAATTCTTACGACATCTCGACTTTTATGAGCGTTGACAGCAGTGCAATCATTTGCTTACCTTCGGAGCTTAGTTTTCTTTGGTTCACTTGCAGAACCTACGTATGACATTATGTCTTCAATTCTTGGAGGAAAAAATAAGTGTCTATATGTCTATAAAAACAAAAAGTATCTTCAGAAGTACAGAGCTTAGTTTGTTAGAGTATCCAGACATCCAGACATTATGTCTTCAATTCTTGGAGGAAAAAATAAGTGTCTATATGTCTATAAAAACAAAAAGTATCTTCAGAAGTACAGAGCTTAGTTTGTTAGAGTATCCAGACATCCAGACATTATGTCTTCAATTCTTGGAGGAAAAAATAAGTGTCTATATGTCTATAAAAACAAAAAGTATCTTCAGAAGTACAGAGCTTAGTTTGTTAGAGTATCCAGACAATCGAAGGGGACAGCTCAAACCCTCTCTCCGTAACACTATTCCATCACCTCATGAATGCACTCTATGAGTAGTGTTCAATGTCTTTTCAGAAGCGTCCAGCGAGAATGAGAATTGGAATTTTAGGAACGTCCAGGTAGCGAGTTCCGCGAAGCCAGCTTTTACGACGGGTTAGGACCAGAGGTAGGGGGAGTGTTAGATGCAAGTAAGTTTTAGTAACCATGCAGTAGATGCCTGCAAAGTTTGTCCCTGCGGTAACACCCTCATGACATTATGCTCCTTAACTTGCCTTGATGATTAATTGTGTTTACTGTTACGATCCTCAGGGCGATGTTCTGACAAGCTTGTAGATTCGTCAACTGCATTTCATTAGTCTCCGGTATACAAGTTGGAGCGTTGTAATTAATGACCGGCCAGTCGGATTTTTCGCGCCCCTGCATTTTGATGTAATAGTGAATGCGACTCTCAGCATCTATTGTGTCAGTTGTTCACTGTCGGCATTTGTACGGCGTTGATTTGGAGAATGTTTTTGCGGCTACAATAACAACAACATTAACTACATCAGTCATGCACATGTGATACCAGTACAACGCCCTCTTGAGGGAGCTGCGAAATATAAAAATTGAACAATAGTGGCAAGGAGATATGCGTGATTGAGCCTGTCAAAGGCTTTCGAAAAATACGGTGCTACCAGGTCAGTACGCATACAGAATGGATTTTTGTTAAGGCCATGGATTTCCTGGTTGCTTATGGCCTTAAATGCGCTTCAGTGGTTATACATACATATTATGGCCTTAATTGTCGAAAACTTTGGTAGGTCTCAGGTAGCGCATGACAGACGGGAGCAGCAAGGCCTCAAGTGTCATCGTTACTTGTAATTAGGTAAATCCAAACAAGTGTCTTCCTTCAGAAGCATTCACAAGGGAGATTACATATATGTATATGGAAGATGTTCCAAAAGATTCAGTACATATGTATTTCTTCGTCTGACCCCCAAATGTTGGCGGTTAGCGATATAAGGATTATGCAGCCGCCAAAAGATGTCTGGTAATAAACAGTGTATGCAAGTGAAAAATACGCTAACTACTTTCTGTTGTTTATATTTTATTTTGCATTCTGCTTTATTTCGTTATAAGCAATAATAATAAATTTGTTTAATAATTAAAATTCCTAATAGTACATACACACATACAATATATATTTAATCAATTGTGTTCAATATAGGGGAGGCAAAACCAGTTTTCAGTAATAATTTAAATATTGTAAATTACACATTTATTAATTACAATAAAAAACCTAGAAGCTTCCAGTTGCTTGTGTTTTTTTTGTTTTTGTTTTTTTTTTTTTTTGTAATAAATACACAATGAATCTAGTTATTCGACCATGTGATGTGTGTATAATTATTTTTGTTTGGTTTTTTCTTTTACTGTACTACCTGCTCGTTAATTCTTCTGTAATTAACTTTATTTTATTTAATTTTTGTTAATTTTGTTATAAATCATTTATGCGTTTTTTGCAGTAATAGACTTCAACAAGGAGTTTTGAAATAAACAATCTTAACTATTTCGAACCATTTAATTATAAAATCGAAATAAAATAACAATTTATATAAATTCCTTTTTTGAAATCAATCGGTTTTTTATATTATGTTTTTTGTGTTAACACTTTTTACGTTAGTTCTTGGTCTCGAAAGCTTAGATAACTAAATGAATAAAATGAAACTAAATTAGATTAGTTAAAAATATCTCCAATTATATTTGGTTTTTTTTTTCAATAGATTTCGATTGAGCAGCAGATAGAAATAAATTGCCTTTCCGTTTTTTAAAAAAAAATACAATTTTAATTTTGTAAAGCCAAATTCTAAATTCAATATATGTTATCTTCCAAATAAACTTCTCCGCTATTTATTACAGAACTACTAAATTATATTAAGGAAAATCCAAAAAATTTTTTACTAAAAACATATTTAATATCTTTTTACAATTGTTTGCTAGCCAATTAGTAATAAAAATTTACAATTTTTGTGATTTTAGTCTTGAGAATTGCCAAAGGTAAGGAAATACCTAAAAGATTAAAACAATTTCATTTTATTTATGATTTTGTTTACCAAGTATGTGGGTATATAAAAGAACAAATTAAAGGTCATCTCATACAAGCACGCACCGGCGAAAAGCAATTAAATTCCACACATGTCTAGGCACAATAGCAACCAAGTTGCCGACAGTCTGGCAGCACAGTCTCTCTCGCGTTTCTCATTCTCCCGAAATGTTATAAATGTATGTATGTAACAGCCAGCATGCACTCTTATAATGCTAAACTGTTATCAGATGAGTTTAATGTAATTAATACGCAGATTCATTGTAAATTGTCAATATAATTACATATAATTAAACATATTATCAAAACAACACTGGTGTTACGATCATATTTAACAGCATATTTGGTTAATGAGTGGAGGTCTCTTTCATAAGAATAACAATATGATCATTATAATTCAATTTCGGCTATGAAATAAAATAAAATGATTTTCTGGTTTTTAATCATGCCCAACAGCACACAATATCGGCACAAAAGGACGAACATTAATTAATTTGCAACACTCGCTGCAATATTCTTGTTCGCGGCCATCAGCATGTGCGACATGCTGCTGCTCTCTATTTGTGAGTTTGTCGCAGCTGCTGCGGCAGCGGCTACTGTAGCACTGGCTGTTGCTGCCGCTGCTGCTGCATTCTGTCTTTGTTGTTGTTGTTGTTGCTGTTGCTGCTGCTGCTGTAACGCATCCGCTGCTGCTGTTATCGGCACCGGCGGCGTCTTAAAGATTGCACTCGCTGCAGATGTACTAGTTGTTGTAACAGCAACAACTGCATTTACCGCTACAAGTTGTGGCAAGTTATTTGTTGCGCCATTAGTTGTCGCCGATGTCTGCGCTAGTGCTACTGATTTGGCTGTTGGCGCAGATAGGCTCTGCTTAGGTTGTTGTTGTTCTGGTTGCAACACTGCTGCCGTTGCTATGGGTATTTGAGCTATGGACATGTTGTTATTTGACGCAGGTGTATTTGTTGTCGAGGTTTTTGCTCTTGTTGTTGGTGTTGTTGTTGTTGTTGCGACTTCGACTGTATTGGCAACAACAGGCTCACCTAATTCGGGCAGCTGTTGGCTGCTGGCGACGCCTTTAGTCGTCCAGACGGTGGTTGCCACCAATGTGGTATTTGTTGTGGAACCGGTAGTTATAGATGTTTTATAATTTGGCATATTGTTAATAATAAGTGAGGTGCTCTGTTGCTGTAGAAGAAAAAAATTAGAAATTTGTTAATTTAATTCGATTAAGCAAAAAGAAATAAAATAATGAAAATTATGTAAAAGTTCGAGTTTACATTTATTTTCAATAAAATATGTTTTAATGCTTGTATATTTATATTCATAAATGCAAATGAGCTTGAAACTTGAAATAAATGTTTTTCGAATGTTTGTTGACAAAATAATATCTTTATAATTTCACATTTCGATGTAGCCCTTAGCTAAAGTCTTCTACTGTTACTGTATTAGTTAAAATAACTAAATAAATTTATTTGTGCTACGAAAATTGTTAATAAAAAGTAATAAAAAATAAAAAAACGAAAATTAACCTACCAAAAAATAAACTCACTCCCTTTCATGTTTTATGCGAAGATTTCATTTTTTTTTTTTAATTTGTAATTTTCTCAGGATTTATGTATAGTGTTTACCTCTAATCTTGTAGTTACGGCAAGGTAGCAGGGTCCACACAATCTTACGGGTTTAAAAAGTTTTGCATCAGGTAGCGGCGCCCAAAACTCCGAACAATCGGCACAAAATATTTGTCCACACGAGCTAAATAAAGAAAAATAATTTAATATCTTTTTTCTAAACGAAAATCTAAGAAATTAAAGATGGAAAAAATGATAAGGATAAAGGTTAGATGCGATTGGTAGAAAGGCCATGCCCAAAGAAAACTCATAGCTTGCGCCAATAGAAGCAAGTGGCACTCGCAATAATTTATGCTAATTTTAAAATAAGGGTTTTATTGATGTACCTTTTATGGTAATAAAATGGGAATATGGTACAATTTTTTTTACATAAATGAAAAATGTATAGTGCCAATTTTTTACATTATAGATGTAACAAAGATTCTTGTTAGACAAGTAATGAAATGGTTATAACAAAAGAAATGAAAACAGATGTAGTTTATACCGTGACAAATTTACAAATAAGGCGGGAGTTAGTCATAATTGTAAAATTAAGTTAATACTAAAAAAACAAAAACGAGAAATAAGCTATAATTAATAAATTGGTCATAAATTACTCCATATAAGTATTAATAATAAGTAGTATGTGCGATATCTAAACAATGAACAGTGAAACATAAAATACCCCATTAAATAAGTAATTAGTTCTAAAAAAATAAAAATAAAATAATAAATATAAAAACGAAATAAAATTGTTAAGTTTTTAATTATTTTTATTTTCCCACCGACAATGATGCCTTCGACGGCCTATCCAAAATTCATTTTGACAATTGGTACAACGTTTCACGGCATGATCCGGTACCCACAGGACACTTGCGGTGTTTGTTTGTTGTTGTGATTGTTGTATGGAGGAACTACCGCTAGATGTGGGAGCGCTGCGATCATCAACAGCTTCCCATGAACATATCGAAACATTTTCAACATTATCCGCAACTGAAGACTGTAATACAAATTAATAAGAATGTTGTTATACTAAATTTCAGGCAAATATATTATTATGTTTGAGAATTGTTAATTTAATAACAATAAATTTTGTTTAAAGAAATATCAAAACATATTTTGTATAAAATAAATAATATAAAAATTAAAATATGCATGCGATTAGCGGATCGTTTTTGGAATTTTGTAAACTAGATGAAAACATTTAAGCCAAGTAATTTTTGTTAGACGACGAACAGCAACAACAACAACAGGTTAGTCGATGAGCAGCAAGGGCGCAAGCAATCAAAAACAGCATTAAACTCGGTAAAGTCAAAAGTCTTGAGCAAATTTAGCATATCGATATATTTACGAACATGTGTATGTGTAAAAACTATTTTCAAAATTATTCGGCAGAAAGTAGAAATAATCACTAGTTTCAACAATTAAAATTGCTTTGCGCAATCGTTACAACCGACAAACATGGTGGAAACCACTCAAAACTATCATTTTTATGTCTGTTTGTATATTTACCGCAATCTTGATTAACATTATATTATATTATCGCGTAGCGTATTAAGTACCTAGTAGAAAAAACATGGTATTAAGTATATCAATATGCTATTTTATAACAACACAAGCACTTAACCGTTACAAGCGCAAAAAATGCTTAAGCTATGTAAAAATAAGCCCTTAAAAAGCCATAAACTAACCACTGACAGGGAACTATTGCTGTAATCATAATCACAACAACTACAGCTATGCATTTGTCCCAACATAGCGTTGTCATTATCGTTGTCAGAAAACAAATAATTTTCATTATTCTTGCAGAGAGTACAACTGAAGCTATGATATCGACGTTTACGCTGGCGCTGACTATTCTGGCAATGGCAGTAGCAAAAAGGAAACGAATGATGTAGCAACATTCGATCATGGTAACCGACTGCAGTATGACAACGATGTAGACGATGATGACGGTTTTGGTTATGTGGTGACTGTTGTTGTTGTTGCTGCTGCCGTATTTGCTCATGTGTCAATAAGAGTGTTGGTTTGTTAAACGATCTGGCTTTCAAGTGTTGGCACTTTATACGTTCAAGTAACCTACTTCTGTTAAATGAGAGCTCGTCTACCTTAATTGGATATATGTATATAGATTGATAAGAGGAGTATGCGATAGTATGCACATATATATATGCGGGTAATATATGTATGTTGGTAGATTTGTTCAAAATATACGATTTTCTAATGAACGCAAAATGTGAGTTTTTTTTTGCCCGACTTAATTAACCATGTATGAATTAATACCACTTCCAAATGAATTTAATTTATGATATCAAATACGCGTTGCGTTGCTCAACTCCAAGTTTATTTCAGCAACAATGTATTTATAAAATCAATGAAATAAAAGGAAAAAAAATTTCATAATTTTTAAAACTATCTACATATGTATATAAACATTCAGCATTAAAAAATATAAACACAAATATCTTCAATAATTGTTTTTGAATACTTTAAGAAGTTCTTTAAAACCAAATTTGTCAATGTAAAAACAACCAAAAAAAAAAAAAATGCTAAATTTTTTTTTCATTGATGTAAAATATGTAGACTATACTTTTTTAAACTAATTATGAAATCATTTTTTATTAAAAACGAAAATTCGTCTTATAGCCAAACTTAAAATTAAAAGAGTTTCATCGACTAGTGCAGTTGTTATTGATTGAAAAGAAATACATCCACAAATTTGTAGAAAAAATATTATAATTTTTGCTTTTAATATTAATCTTGATTATGGCGCGCAAAGCGCGCCTAATTTATGTAAAAATCAATCTCATACCTGTTCATCGTTTGTATTAGTTTGATTACATTTGCAATTTGGACATCTCTTCTTAAGCAATACCATACGCATGTCATGTATTTCACGCAACAACATATCCTCGCGCAACTATAGCAAAATAAACTATTTGTAAAGATGTTCAAATATAAAATTTAACACACAAAATTACTCACCTTGTGTTCGTGCACAATTTGTTGTAATCGTAAATTTTGTTCGCTTAAGGCATGCGCCAAGCCGTCGGGGCAGGAAATAGTCATATGTGCTCGTTCAGGTTGAGCGGGCGGTGTCATTGGCAAAGAGCGTACACCACGCAAATGAAACCGTCTTGTTGAGCGAGGTGTTGGATGTTAAGCAATAAAATGATAAATTATACCACACTGTCTCGTCCTCGAGGTTATTATAACTTGTAGTAACCCCCACTTGCACGGTCTACTCACAGCATTTCACAATTCTAAAATAATTTTCTTAACGATGGTAACACTATTTTGGGTTCACCATTTTATTTTACTTCATTAAGTGTTTTTATTAATTCAACCAAAATATCAAAATTACACAATTTAATTGTGAATAAATTATTTAGAATAATGGAAGCCGAATCTTTGCGCGGAATTGCAAAATTGTTCGAGACTCGACTTCAAGCAGCAATAGTGGTTCGCATCGTGAAGGTTATGGACGGCCATCAAGACGGCGCTCATTTGCAACTTGTAGTTTGGGTATTACCCGTTGTTGATGATGCGACAACACGTCAAATAGTCCCCGGCGAGCGTGATCTGCAAGGCACGACACGCGTCAGGCAAGTCATCTGACATTTTCAATCGTACAAGATATGTTTCGTCAAATATTTAAGCCATACGTCTATTGACATCCCGGCTAGCGTGGTCTGCGAGGCACGGCACGTCAGTCAGGTAATTTACATGACATATTTGATCGCTCTAAGTATGCAGTTTCAGGTCCGCAGGTGTCACGTAATATAAACCCCTACGAGCGTGATCTGCGAGATACGACACGGGCGTCACGTTATTCACCCAGCATACTAAGTCGTTAAAACTTCTTGCTAATATGAAGTGGCATAAATCATTCTGAACCAGTAAAGAATTCGACTATTTCATCTTTAAGTAACACGACGACTGCAGCTTCAAAGCCTGGTTCTAGTTATACTCAAAAGCAATATTTAAACTCGAAACCCCCTGTCAGGAAATACCATCGCAAAACCACTTACCAGGCAGGGGGCAATGCATCTCGGAACAAATCAGATCGTCAACAGGGCCTCGGGAGTCGAAACAAGCATTTTATAGGCCATTGGCTTCAACTCATCTCGGATAAAGAGGTTTTGCAAACTATATCTGGATATAAAATCCCATTTTGTTCACAAATACTTCAAAGCCATGTACCCAAACAACCAGTTTTTAATGATAATGGTAATGAGTAGGATTATAAAACATTTACACAGATTCTTGTAATGCTTTCTTGGCCTCAATTGATGAAGACGCATATTTTTCGATACCGATTCATAAGAGCTTTTGAAAATTTTTAAGGTTTTTTCTTCAGAGATCAATTCAAAAGTTTCGTTTTTAGCACCAGTTTATACGGTACCTCACTGCGGCATGCACATTAAAAACAAAATACTCGCGTACTGCACACTGCTCATTTTATTTATGTTGCCTTATAGGGAATTCTACCCCGCTTGGAAGTCGTTAACGATATATTAGCGTCGTTATCGTTATCTTTCCCCGTTTAACGCCACGGAGTCAACGGTATTAAAATTTTTATCTCCGCTAGCGAATGAAATAAACAAGTATGGAACTCTTAATACATACAGATCGGCTATCTCATTGTTTTCAACGTGGGATATTGGGAGAGACTCAACTATTCAGAGCTTCTACCGAGGAGTTTCATTGTTAAAACCACAGCGTCCCAAATATGACGAGATATGAGACACCGGTATTGTTCTAGATTATCTATCGAGTTGGAGATTGAACAGCGATTTAGAACTCGATCTTCTATCTAAGAAGCTTGCTATTCTCTTCGCCTTAGTAACGGCGCAAAGAGTTCAAACCTTATCCAAAATAAAGATTTCGAACATACATTTTAACTCTTTCTCGGCAATGATAGAAATTCCGGACAAAATTAAAAAAAAAAAAACCGAATTTGATTTTTCCATCATTTACTGAAAATGATAAGATTTGCCCAGTTGCAACCTTATGAGAGTTCCTTGGCAGAACAAGGGATTTAAGAAATCAAGGAGAACACTTTTTTTTATTACATTCAAGAAGCCACATCGTGAAGCATCGTCACAAACAATAACCAGATGGATTAAGCAAATAATGCAGCAGGGAGAGCGACTTAGATATAAATCAATTAAGAGCACACAGTACACGTCACGCAGCTACTTCAGCAGCGTTCCAGAAGGGTGTTGATGTTAAAACCTGTCGTAAAACTGCAGGATCGTCAGGAGATATTCACTCGATTTTATAATCGCCCAATCGAAAACGAAGTAAATTTTGCGGCTTCAATTTTTTGATGTAAGAATCAACAAATAAACTACTTTATTTACATACTTTTCGATAACCCAGGTTTGTTATATTTTGTAAAATGTAAAAAGTAAAATAAGATGCTGAACCCTACATTTTACCATCGTTAAAAAAAATGCCTTTTTAGAATTGTGAAATGTTTTGAGTAGACCATGCAACTGGCGTTACTAAAAGTTATATTAATCTCTTCGGACGAGACAGCTAATATAATTACGATCGAACTACACTCAGGCAAGTTCGTTTGATCGTACAATAAATAAAGCTATTCTTTATAATGAGACATTTCGACTCACTTTTCCAGACGTGGTCTTCCACAGCGTTGTGTATCTGATGCACTGGTAGCAGCAACCGTACCACGTTGTCGACTATTGTCACCATTACTACTTGTGCTCGCCTTGTCCACAGAGTCGGTTGGTGTTGCTGGCACTGATGAGCCGCTATTCGAAATTGCTTCACATCTACCACTTGGAGAAATCTCCAATTTTCGATGTGTCGGCGAAATAATAATGCTGTCGTTCATAGAATCATTGGAATGCCGTTGAGTATTAGAAATACCAACAGCACCATCAACTTCCGAGTCTACTTCATCTTTATTTTCACTTTTATTGTCGCAACTACGATCTGTTGTTGCGAGGCTACTATTGCTATTTGAATTATTTCGATTATTAAGTGAAGATGATGTAGATGAGACAGAGCCATTACTAGATGATTTTGACAAGAATTTTGAACAATTTGAGGTACCATTTGTGCCATTAATTTTTTGCAAAATACTGTTATTTACACCACTGTAGGACATATTTTTTCTAGTAGCGTTATTACCTGATGTAGTAGGACTTTGATTCTATGTACGAAAAAAGAATTTAAAGTTATAAAATATGTTCATATTGATTGATACTCAAATATATTGAAAAAATTAAAAGAATAAATACCTCTGACTTTAATAAAACATAAGGTGAACTCAAGCCAAGTTCCTCTTTATCAGCAGCCGTGGATAACTTTTCAGGTGTAATAAAATCATTGCGAGCGTTAGCCTCCTTGCCGGGGGGAGTAATTGATCTGTTTTCATTCGACGTTAGGGTATTTTGTTGGTCATTTGTATTACTAGCCGTATCACTCCCTTGCGCAGAGGCACATGTATGGAAGTCATATAAATTATTGTCGCCTTCTGAATTTTTAGATTTTTTCTCATTAGTGCCATTTTTAGCGTTGCCATTTGTGCTAACTTGACTATTGTCCTGTCGATGTGTATCTTCGGCATTTGTTAGATTCTCATGCAATTCTTTGCGTTCATTAAGACTTTGTAATTCATCGGCCGCCATTGCTCGGTTATTTTGATGACTGTTTCGTTCTTGAATTTTTGGTATAGCGCCAGCTGCATTGTCTGGCGAATCTTCACGTTCGGAACTGTTCGCAGAATTTGTAGCTTCTGTTTGACTGGAAGTACTTGAATTATTATAAAGCTGTTTATTGTATCGTAAAATGCAGTACTGCTTACAGTTGTTGTGCAACCACATTAGGATCACTGAAACTGCGTACAGGTACATTCGACATTACACTCGCCAAGTCTAAAAAATTAAAATGACATTAAAAAAAATATTCCTTCCACTTAGATAGTGTGCCACCTATTCTTATTCTTTTTTTCACATTAAAAAAAAAAAACTTACCATTTGATTGTTCTTCAATTTCGCTGCTGCCATTTATAAGATCATTATAGTTTTGATTCCCTAAACTACCCATATAAACCTCAGTCCACAAGTGTAAATCTCGTACATTATATTTAGGCCAAAGGACCTAGAAAATTTTAATTATTACATAAAATAATATATTTGTTGTATTTTGAATTGTACGAACCGCATCTCTGCTTGGTAAATAAAGCGGATTTCTATACATAGGACCTGAGAGGAAAGGCCATACAGAGAAAGTGCGCTCAAATATAGAGTTTTCCAAACGATATTTGTATGAGTTGCCTAGGAAGGTGCCGAAAAGACATGAGTGTAAGTGTTGCGCTAATTTTATCTGTAAGAAAATAAATTTGTATGACCACATTTTGCATAATTTATATTTGATTTGCAAAATTTACCAAATAAGCCCTGTTGAATTCAAAACTGCAAGGAAATTGTATGTGTAGTTGATGTACTAAATCTAACCATTGTATGAAAATTGGACTACGTTCATTCAAATCATCTGACTCAGGGCCGTGACCACAACGTTTGGCAAACTTGTGCCCAAAACTAAGCCATTCACGTTCGACCAAAATGCGGAAACCCTAATTTAAAAAAATAATAATTTATATATACTGATATAATTGTAAAAATATAAATTTGCTTTACTTCGACTGTGCGGTAATATGGGTCCAAACACAACTGTGCTGTTGCAACAATTTGTGGTGTACGATCCCAACCATCAGAACAGTGCACCACTACTGGACATCCTTTCTTCTCGATGGCTTGAAGTACAGTTGTGGTAGCTGCGAATAATCCACTAAGATGTTGTAGCCAGTTTGTCTTCTCGAGTAAGCCTAACCAGCTAAGAAAATGGAAAACGCGATTTAAAAAACAAATACATATTTGACGTCATTGAGAATATCCTTACTTTGCATCAGTTGGTGGGGCAGCACAGAGTGTTCTTAGCGCATGAAAGCTCTTACGTATTACGTGTATATTACCCAGACACATGAATTGAATTTCAGCAAAAGGATAATATTCAATGCATTCGCAACCACCGCCGCGTGCACGATTACCTATAGCAGAGGTGTAGCTGCGCGCATCCACAATGAGAACTTTCTATAATGCAAAATATAAATTTTTAAGATATATATAAAAAAAAAAACTAAATTCAATGTACCCGCACTTCATCCAGTGATACTTCCTCGTGACTCTCAACATCAGCATTGGTCGGTTGGGTATCTGGGGGTAAAAACATTGCTGGTACTGCGGACCTCGCAGTTTGCATAAGGCGACGCATTTGCTCACCTCGGTCAAATGCACAAGCATCTGCCAGAGCTTTCAGGAATTGTTCGTCTGACTCACTACGCCAGCCTAACCAACCTACTTCTGGTTGACTGCAACGGGCAATTATTGCACCATTTCTCTTATGACGCCAAACAACAGATGGCAGCCGTCGCGAAGCACGATAATTCGCCACAATCTGAAGCGTGTCATCGGTAATACAGCCGGGCACCAATATCTTCTTTGGATATGTAGGACATAATTTAAATTCTTCATTTGCTTTTGAAATGCGCCACGCTCCATTTAGATCGAAACCGAGTCGCACGACTTCTCGCATAAAATCGTCGTCTTCACGAGAGGCGCGTTGTAATCGTTCCAGGTACTCATCAGAATAATCAATTACACCACCACCGACACCAGAAGCAGCAGCAGCAGCAGCAGCACCACCACCACCACCACCACCTCCTCCACCACCACGACCACCATCGGTTAACCTTTGAGCACCGTCAATAGATGCTTCACTCTCACACATTGCATTAATTTCATCGCATACGAACACATGAAAAGGAAACGCAAATAGTGATTCTAACGTTTCCGGTGTGCGTATGGCTTGATTAATGCGACGCTGCCAATCGCTACATTGTTCAGCTGTTTTAAAGGAACACTTAAAGCTGCTTGCGTCCTTGCAATATATGACTAAATGTTCTTGTTCTGCTAATTGTACAATATCGACAACACCCAGTGGCACAGATGTCTCTGCGTTGGTTGTGATTACAAGCTTAAATATGCGGTATGTCGAGAGCGCCAAGATGCCGTCCGTAGTACGACCCAAGTATCTGACGAATTCACCAGCAACTAAGCATGTCCAAATACAAAAGGTTATCGATGTTAGCATTTTCTTTTTTTTTTTTTTTTTTTTTTTTTTTTTGCAAAAAGTGTAAATTCAAAGATACTCACGTGTTTGGAATGGTACCTCCAACTCGTCATCTTCTCTTTCCATATTTATTCTTGGATAAAGTTCCGAAGATCGTACGATGAATAGTGAAGGGGGCGGAGATCCATCTAATCCTTCCATTTAACTGTAAAAAAGAGTACATACATAAAAATAAGAATGCAATTTTTGAAAATATTAAATTTAATACTTTAAATTTTAATTATGTTTTTTTCTAGCCAAGCAATGGAAGGCCAGAGCAAAGTTAAGAAAAAAATATAAAGCATATTTAAAGACGCATTTGTTCCGGTAAGTGGACGTTATCTAAATATTTACAGATAGATATGTATCTAAAAGGCTTTGTACTGAATGACTGACAGATTAGCCCGCAGCCTAAACTAGTCATCCTAGGGAACTGATACTTGGAGGGTGTGTTTTACGTTTATCGGGTTTCTTATCCCGGATATTTATTTTTAAATAGTTTGATTTACACGTAACTTGATGCAGAGGTAGGTCACTCTTTATCTGTATTGGAAGTAGACCTGGTATCGATCTGAAAATATGGAGCATACATACATTTACAGCTGTCTGCCAATATTATATAATATGTAAATGTAATAAATAAATGGGTTTTCTTTCGATTTGCTTGAAATTTGGAACAACTAAACAGTCTACTTTACGTTACAGTTGAGCTGTCTATTAAAAGATATCGTATTTTCGGTTTGATTTGCGTGGATTAATAACTGTAGCGCTTTTCTCTTCAGGGAGCGCACAAAAGACCCTATTTGAAAAATTACAATTTGATATTTGCATTAAAAAAGATGTTATAATTTATGAATATTTAAACGTTTTAACCAAATAACTGATATTTTACAACAAAATAAAAATAAATAAAATACATTTTAGAACCAGACGAAGTGACCGGCAAAATGTAGTCAATTTGTATTTTGCGACCGAAATTTTAATGTGTATACATACATATGTGTAGATATGTACACATGCAACGTACGCAAACACCATTTTAAGAAAATTTCAGCAAGAAAACGTTAGAATCCTATTATTTAGCTGTTGCTGTTGACATATAATATATGCATGTACGTACATACATATGTAAGACTATCGAGTTCAACTTTACAAAAACAAAAAAAAAGAAGCAGCTTACGAAATTTTACTTTTACTTTTACTTTCGCCGCCAACAAAACTTGAAAGCCTGACTGACACATATCAAAAGTATAAGGGAAGGATAATATTTTCCATGTTAAAAGGGAAATTAAAATTACGCCACTCAGCACTCGTTCAAGCATACACACTTATCGAACTATGTACACTGCCATGCACTAAATTTGTATGTATGCATGTATGCAAGTATTATAGGTATGTTGGCTATACTGCGGCGAACGTGTATTCGCGACCACAACAATGATGGCAGGACGAAGGAGTAAAAATAAAATAGTAGGAAATAAGGAAATAAAGTTTTTTCCAACTATTCTATACTAAATACGTGCTTTTGTATGTACACTCTAATGTGTGTATATTGAGAAGTTTTAGTTTGACTATTCGTTTGATTAATAACTAATAAATTTGGTATACCTCAATGTAACGCGAATGACAACTTTATCATTAAATTTCATGATTTCACTCTAAATTGATTTTTATATTGAAACACACACTTATGTATGTCATTAAAATGATATAAAAGAGATTTAAAAGAATGTATGTATTTTTACTCACTTAATATGCGCACAGATATATAATATATACATACATATTTATATGTATATAGGTTTCACTTTCTTAAAACCGACCTACCTCACTCCAAAATTATCACGACAATTTAAGGATATGCGTAAAGATTTTAACGACACACATTCACTTTGTTCTTTGCTTACACATACATTCATACATGAATATTTTTATGTTGAAAATAAAGTTATTTTAATATTTTTCTTTAAAGAAATTTATGTCTGTAGATGTATACTAAAATATTTTAAGATAACTAAACTAAGTGTGCTTTAGTTACGAATCGTCACGCGACCGAATAGCAACTGTTGTAGACTAAACGCGGCGACAGCGATTACAACCGTAAATGGCGTAGCCGCAAACGTAGTAATCGAGACGAACGAAGACCCAATCCAGTATATGTATGCACATGTGTACGAGTGTGTACCTATTCGAAATGCATAGAGTATAACCACATCAGTATAGACAATTGTATGTATGTATAGTTGCGACTTGTATATATGGATATATACGAGGGGATTAACAAAAGTTCGTCACCATTAACGACTTTACTAAAGTTGCTAGACTGGCCTTTTTCGAATTTGTTTAGGAAAAAATGAGCAAAATGCACTCGAGCTTTTTTTGGGCCGCATTTATAATTCGTGACGTCATCGGTGGGAGATTTTGAAAAAATGTCCGGTCTGGAATCTACGTAACCACTTAAAAATAGTCTCTAAGGACGGTGCAGCCGTTCCATATGAATTTTGGCATTCACTGAATATTTTTTTGGCGGTAAATTACGCCGAAACCCGAAGAGAAGCACATGGTGAATTTCTGTTTTCATTGGTGGTGGAGTTTCGGCTGATTTACCCTCAGCTATCTTGTGTTTTCTCTTCTCCATTTTAGCCAATCATTCTCAAATTTGAAAGGAAGACTAATAAAGTAATTGCAAAGGATTTGGTGTTTTTAGATTTAACAAAAACAAATTGACAGTCACAAACTGATCGAACTTTTGTTAATCCCCACGTACAATTATATACATATATACATATGTATGTATGTAGGTATGGTTGTGGGCAAGGTTTGCTGGAATTTGAGTAGTGGCAATCGCAACGCTCTCGTTCTCATACTAGTGGAGCAGCGAATATCCAGTGTCGCACGGCGTTCATGTGGAGTCAATGCTTTCAACAAGCGGCTGGCAATGGCCGATACACCTGAGAAAGTTGAATCAAAGGTACTACTGACTTTAGTATGTTTGTATGAAGATCTGTATGTTGAAAACTGTTCTAAATAGATCTAGGAATGTTTAAAAATTTAAAAAAAAAAAGTTATACACTTAACATTTCAGCGATCAAACTACATAAACCTACATACATACATAGTATATGCATACGAGAGAACGTTTTTATGTTTGCGATAGATATAAAAGAAATCAAACTATTTTTCCTTTTCAATATATTCACTTGCAAGACGGATACAATTTGAACATTTTTGTTATGTCTTTATGTTCAAAATATACTGAAACTGCCAATTTAACCTAATCATCGGTGACAAATTGTTTACCCCTCAGCCCTTTTTCATTATGTCAAATAGATAATAATCACTCAGCGCCAGGTATAAGCTGTATCGAAAGCGGCTTGCTTTTGCGGAGGCGTGAGCATTCTTGTCTAGTATAGGATTTTAAACATGGTTGTATCGGATACTCAAACCATTTCGCTGAGGTGTTTCTTCTTTAGCCGAGCAACGTTCGGCCGTGGTCACCTCGATGCTTCTACACGATCTCAGGTTGTGAAATGCTTCCATTTTCTGTTTATATAAACTGTACCGTAAACCAATAAAATCTTATTCAATTGATGTCTACGCCACTAAAAATGAAGAAGAAAGTTAGTCGATGCATAAGCGAGGCTCACGATAGGAACTGTTTCCAGGAGTTCGCACGTAAAAGAGAGGTTTGAGAGCTCTATAAAAGTTGAAATTTACACGGATAATCCCTACGGTAGCAAACTATACAGACCTATATTTCTTCAGTAGCAAGGTTAGGTTCTTAGTGTTAAACAAGTGGAAAGAGTCACAGCATTGGTCATGATACAAGGCAATCAACGGCATTTGAGATCAAATATTCCGTCTGGTGTTTGATCGAGATTTGAAAGTTAAACAGCAGAGGATAGAAAACACCACCCTGTATATGAGCCCTACAGTTCGTTCAATGCACAATGTATCTTTGAATAAGTATAAAACTCAGAAAGTCGTGGGCTCGAAAATACCTTGGCCAATAGACACATCTGATTACACTATTCTTAGTTGGGTGAGCACGGGACAGCAGAAGGTCATCAACACATCATTTATCAACGACCAAGACGCTCCATTGAACTGATTTAAGATGTCATACAGAGCCTTGCGCAGAACCCAGAGGAGTCGTATCGCTGACGCGCTCAGCATTTTGTCGTCAATGGCCATTTTGCGTGAAAATTAGAGTGCAGTTAACAGAATAATGGGGACCGACCAATGGTCACGTCGCTTGGAAAACGGTCGAATAGTCGCTCGAGTGGCTGATAATTAACCTGGGGCCGAATCGAGCCGTATAACTTGTCACGTAAATTTATGTGGAAAATACATTCTGGATTCGTGAAACGTTACATCGTTTGCTCCAAGATCTTGATTGGGCCATAAAGTTATTTACGAAATTCAGTTCCTGCAACGAAAATTGTGTAGAAGTATGAGAACTCTAGAACTGACCCCCTGGCTTCTTTTTGTGGGGCTATTTGAATAACCAGCAATACTTGCACCACTGACAAACTCATTCCAAACAATAGAGGCGGAGTTCTTTAGTTTATTTCTCGACGCTGGACAGGAGGTTTATCTTCAAATAAAATAAAACAATGAGATATGTCATATGTATGTACATATGCAACTTATATATTATATAGTTTTAAAGTATTTTTCTATAAAAATATATTCAAAAAGGTTCCTTCCTTCGAGCCGGATTTGAACCAGCGACCTATGGATATCTACAACCGTTCGCATTATATTCTACAGTCCACCGCTCTACCAACTGAGCTATCGAAGGTACGAATGCCTAGAGATTCTGTCTATACTTCTTTTGGCCTGCAATTGAAGAGCACGACTTTGACAAGATGAGAATTAAATAAATAAAAATATTTTTATAAAAACTCAAATGAAAAAATATTTACTTTATCGAATCCTTCGAGCCGGATTTGAACCAGCGACCTATGGATTTCTATATTTTTTTCATACAAATTACTTCTACAGTCCACCGCTCTACCAACTGAGCTATCGAAGGTTTTAAATTGGGGCGAAACAATTTCTTCCACCACAGCATAGTTTCGTTGGATTTGTTCAGTGCGCTTCGTGTGCTTATAAATAAATAAACTCATTTTTATTCAATCAGCAGTTTTATTTCGATTTGTT